GGGGCCACCCAGTCAGAGTCAAGACCTTCCCGGATCCGAGCGACTTTGTCATGCAGATATTGGGCAAAATCCTCGGCCCTCCCCCCCAGGGGATCCTCCCCCCCCCTCAACTGGAGGAGGGAGCGAGTCACCCTGAAGAGGGTGGCCGGGCGATTATCTGATGACGCAATGAGGGTGGAGTAGTAATTAGACCTCGCCATGTTTGAGGGTTCGTTAAGAACACCAGTATGAAAGCGCATTGTATAAGCTTTTAATCAATGTGGAGTTCTCACTTGAGTGCAAATAACCAGGCTCAAAGGTTCATTTATAATGCTGGAAAAGAACAACCAGTAGGGGCAATGGGCACAACATTGGAAGAATTAACCAGTTTGGGGAACAGATCCTCCTGGAGAAAATCTAGCTATGTGGTGGTTGCTAAAGAATCGAAACCAACTTGGTGGCACATGATCAAGTTACTTATTTTGCTGTTCATAAACGAAATGTTTATTTGCTTATATTGCTTTTAAAACAGTAACAAAAAATAAAAAGACAAAGAACAAAACACGAAGGTAATTATGATAGAAATACATTTGCAAAGAAAAGGGAAAAGAAACCACACAAAAAAGTGCTTTAAAAGAAAAAAGTAAAACAATACAACAAAGAAAAAAAGGAAAAACAAATTAATTTACCATTTTGACAATAAATAGTTACAATTTTCTATATATTTAATGCAGATATTCAAATACATACATGCTTACCGGATGGTAACGTTTTGCTTTTCAGGTTCCACCTATACTCTTTCAACTCTGATCCACGCTGCAACACTGATTGTGCAGCGGTTGCACCGAGGACTTGGTTTAGCAAAGAGTTTCTCTAAAGCATGTTGGGAGGTTTATGGATCTACACAACAGTCCCAAAAGGACAAAAAGGTAATCTGCTTTCAGATACAATCTGGTTTGTAGAAGTAAAACAAAGAATTTGCTTATTTTTCAACGGATTCCATGTTTTCACAAACATTAACTCTCATACACTGAAGCACCTGACAAAAATGGATCTAATAACTGAGCACAAACATTAGCCAAGGAAGCAGAAACTCTTTTTAATTCAAAATTTATCCCAAAGTGGGTAGCATCCAAACTTTGCTCAAAATAACTTGAATCCATCTTAAAATGTACTAGATTTGTAAGAGTGGCACAGTAAGAATCGGGTCAGCTGAGTATTTTAAAATGTATTTCATGAATTTATCCCTATTTTTTTTAAAAAAAATCTAAGAAATTAACCACCTCTGTCTAGCTCTTCTAAAATATCAAACCTATAATGCATTATTGGGATCCCAAACGGAATAATAATAATAATAATAGGGGTAATCCTTGAGTTACAACCACTATTGAGACTGGAATCTCGGTCGTTGAAGCAAAGCAGCCATTAAATAATATGCCACACGACTGCTTTACTCAACTACTGCGATCTCAGCACTTCTGGTTGTTATGTGATCTTAAAACTGTTAAGTGGACAAAATCCTAAGTAAGGAGCATGGGGCATTTCAGGGGAGATGGAGAAGACCCAAGGAAACCTGAGGTAGGCTGTGTCTCTCCACTTAGGAACTGTAAATCCTCCCTGCCAGAATCAAAGCAGGATTTTCAGCCTGAGTGGAGAAATACTCTTATGTGGCCTACATCTTCCCATGACACTCCCCCCCCCCAAAAAGCACCTGCCCTCCTTACCTTACTGTGCTGTCTTTGCTCAGGAGCTGAAAATCCTGCTTGGATTTCAGTCCTTCATCTCTTGGGGCTTGGCTGAAGAGCTCCCTGCGAAAGGATTTTAAGCCTCATGCAAGCAGACGTGAAGGATTTCAGTTCCATGCCAGCTTGCATAGAGCTGAAAATCTTTGACATGGAACTCTTTTTTTTTTTTTTTTGGCAAGCAGCAGCTTGTAACCTTCCCCGCCAGCTTTCCATTGACTTTCTGGGGAAGCCAGCAGAGAGCAAACGCCAAGACTGCAAGTATTGATCATATATTGGCAACCAATAATAAGTGTGACCAGATTGCCAAGCACCCAGCACGCGATGACATGACTGCAAAAGGGGGGGGGGGTTTGCAACATTTTGTGAGCTTGATGGTCTGTCTTCTTGCAGATGTTTCATTACCACACTAGGTAACATCATCAGTGCTAGTAGGGAGTGAGGTTTTCTAGAGCGTCTGCAAAGAAAACAACCAAGCTTAGAGAGCAACAAGGGCCCTGCAGTGGAATTGTGTATGTGTCGAAGTAATGTTACCTAACACTTAATTTTCACAAGAGTGCAATGACAGCACTTTTGTTTCTCCTATTCTATAGTAGAGGAAGTCTCATATAACCTCTCCTCTTTTGCAATCTTTTGCGTTAGCTTGTGCTTGATTTGATAACGAAGCATGTTTCAGCATTGGAGTCAGATGAAGCAAAGGACACGTCTCTCCTTGCCTTGGGATTATGGCCAGATTCGGCCTGCAGTGCTGTGTTTGCAGCTGAAGATTCTCTCCTTTCTACCGTTCATAATGATGGGCAAGTCCTGGCCTATTGCCTGAACAGACTGAACCTGAAAAGCAACAGGTGGGCAAGAAATGTTTCATTTGGCAACTGAGGCTTAACATTCCCAAGTGAATTCATTCTGGCTGAGTATCATTTGCTGGCTCTTGAGAAAACCCATCCCCAATTCTACAGCAGGGGTGTCCAACCATGGCAACTTTAAAACTTGAGGACTTCAACTCCCATAATTTCCCAACTAACTGGACAGTTTTGGGAATTGAAGTCGTCCAGTCTTAAAGTTGCTAAGGTTGGACACCACTGCTCTACAGAAACCAGGTGGAATCTTTTGTCAAAAAGAAGTTCACCAAAACTTCTAAATCCTGTACACAATTCAACTAAAACTATATATTGAAACATCCTAAAAATACCACTGAACAAGTAGCAAATAGAAAGAAAACAAAAATAGAAAGAAAAGCAAAGTGAAACAAAGATAAGAAATAGCATAAAGGTGTGAGCGTTTTTTTAATCACAGAGAATTATGAGTTACATCTTAATAGAAAATACCACAGCTCAGTTTTTAAAGCAACATATTAAATCTATACCAAATGGAACCATATAGTTTTTATCTTTCCTCTCTGTCAAAATAAATCCAATTCAAAGACTGAGGATGGACAATTTAGTACACAAGGAACTTCCAAGCATGTGTAATCACATAGTTCAAGTATATTCAAGGCTTCTCATAAATAGTCACATTTAAAATTTGGGAGATATAATTCAACAAAGCCTTAACCTCTTTAAATCTCCCTCCCCAGGAACCTTCTAATTCCTTCCATATATATATATATTTAATTACACCTAATTTTGAAATCAAAGGAAACTGTTCTCTAGTATCAGGGACTATAGGTTCACTCCCTGTGGTACACCAAGGATAGCCGCGCAAGCGCCGAATAGAATGAACTAACAATTAAGGCTGTCAGGACTGCATTGTGTCTAGCATTTGTAGTTTTCCCTGACATTGTATCCATATGCTAAATAAATAAATAAGGGAGTATAGATTTTGGAACATAAGTTAGTCCTCCAAAAGTGTGTGTGGTGAGATGACCTAGGATACAGGGAAGGCTGTTGTCATTGGTCCTTTTTTGCCTGAAATGATAGCCTTCCTTCACACCCGTCCTGAAGTATACTTAAGATCTCATTTTAATTCTGTTAAATGCACATGCGATAATGAAATGCATGTTTCATGTGCTTCGGGGGATCACCATATAAATATGGAACCCATGCCATGCACTTCAGATAGGAGTTTAGGTTGGAATGGGTGGCGTTGTCTCTGTGTGAGTGTCCCGAAAGGAGTGGGGGGAGGGACTTTTATATGTTCAGATTCAACTGCAGAGTCTACTTCAAAGTGATGTTTTAGCTACGTTGAAAGCCTCTGTGTGATTAGCTGTAGGCATGACAGAGCCTTCTCCCTGAATAGCTGCATGCAGAGATGCTTGGGAAGGATGTTATCAAGGAAAAGGGGAAATTGGCATCCTTCAGGCTCTCCTCGCATATGGTGGTTGTCATCTATAGATGCGAAGATGTGCTTTTAAAGTAGGATCATAACAAAATACAGATAATATTAAGGCTTGTGGCTACTTTTAGCCTGTCTACACATTATTTCCCATCAGGGCTTCTCTTTCCTAATTGTAACTAAGCATTTTGCTTGAATGCAAAATGTAGTTAAAGATTAGGTATCAAATCTTGTTACAATGTGTTGAAAGCCCTATTTCAGTGATGGCGTACCTTTTAGAGACCGAGTGCCCAAACTGCAACCCAAAACTCACTTATGCATCGTCGGGTGCCGGGTGGGTGTGGCCCATTGGGTGGGTGTGGCCCATTAGGTGGGTGTGGCTGCGATGGTAACAGCAGACCGGGTGGGACTAAAAAGTTCAATCAATCAATTCCAACTTTGCAAGATCTTTTTATTCCCCACGAGAAGTTGAAATTGATTGATTGATTGAACCTTTTTTTTTGTACATGGCGGCGGAGGCCTAAAGCGAAAAGGTTTTATAAAATCCAGCTGAAGGCCTAGGACTGGGGCGACGGCGCGCGTGCCCACAGAGAGGGCTCTGAGTGCCGCCTCTGGCACCCGTGCCATAGGTTCGCCACCACTGCCCTATTTGCTCCTAACCATTTAATAGCGAGTAATATCTCATTTGGTTATATGCAGTAATGCCTACCCATTGGACATCGTGCCTTCATCACTGACCAAAAGAATTTCTACTCCTAAGGGCATTCCCCCAACTGGCTCTGAAGGTTTGGGTAGCATCTTCTACATCAAATTGGGAGAAATTGCAATGGGAAAGGGATTTTTCTCTGTGTGCCATTAGAGAGAACCCACCGTTAATGAGAAATGTCTCTCCCAGACCTTTGGCATTTATATTGAGATGTATATTGTATTGCATTTTTAAAACAAAAACAAAACGTAACTTCTGTTTCAGGACAATTCCCCTTAATATACGTGACTTTGAGAAAATTCTGTGGTCTCCAAATTCAGATTGTCTCAAATTTGCTGCAGTAGAGATGAATGAGTCCTGGGCGGATGATTTAGAGGTTCTTTCTGCAGCTGTTAAGTTATTCATAGAGAAAGCCACCAATCAGGACTGGACACTGAGAGTTGGATGGCTTAATCAGATAAAAAAGAATTTAGCAGAAGTGCCTGGTAAGTATCAACTCTTTACCTTCCGCTGAAGAAAAGCTGATTGTAATGGTTATAGTGCTGAAAGACGGCCTGTATTGATGGACGGATGGATATTATCCTGATAGTTTGCTGCCTAAAATAAACAGATAAAATATTTATCAGATGGAGTGAACTTTCCCTTCCAAATGTAATGGAAGTTTCTGAAGTCAGAATAAAAGTAAACAGAGGAGGTGTAACTGCCTCTTTCAAATGTTTCCCAATTACTAAAGATTTATTGTCATTTCCTTAACAGCAAAATCCCTCATCTCCCCCACTTTAAAGTCAAAATCTGTTTTAGCCCTGAATTACCCAAGAGTCCACTCCACCTCACCTCAGAGTTACTAGAGTTAACCACCCGATGATGTCAGCACATTAGCTGCCACAAAACAGGCTAACATTGTTAACAATAAGAATGGGTTCCTTAGACTGTAAGAGAAATACCATTACAAAAAGAGGTATTGCAATTTCTTCTTCCTCCATTGTATATTCCAGAGATTGCGTTCCATAGAAATTCCTTCTGATTTGATTTGTAGAGGTCTCCAAGACTGCAAATTCTTTGGTTATCCTCAAGTTTTACGGGTTCACACCTTTAGGCTTATTAGAGATTTTCATTCCGCATTGTATCACAAAAGCGTTTTAGCCAGTGTCTGAATCACAGCTGCTCTTTTTAAGATACATTTTGCATTTTAACTGTGTTCTTGTTGTCAGTCATGTACAGAATTGGGAGTTTTCTGGAAAAGGTATAATAGGAAAACATGCTGCATGATTCTTTTCTGAGTAAATGGAAGAATTTGACATAGTAGTGAAATGTCATGATTACATTCTGTGCAAGAAGGGTTGGCGGTCTCCTCCTAGTAGGAAGAACTGCTCCAGGTTATGGTGGTCTTCTGAAGCTCTCCTGTTAGAAGGAATCTCCCTCACCTCTCCTATCCCTTGCACATATACACGAATATGGACAGAAGCACATATTGTACTCAAACCTCAGACTAAAGGTGGTGGGCTTGATTTCAGCGCAAGCTTACAATTCTACTAATGTCTGCAGATTCTGTGCACACTCAACTGGAAGCTGGTGCTGCGTCTCTGAATAATTTCTACTTCAGCACTCTCTCAAATGGAATTAGCAATGTAATAAAGATGCTGCAGCCAAATATGACAGGTAAGACAATTTCCTTTCCCCTCAACAATATTTTGTATGTATTCTCTTGAAGGTTTCAAATAATGAATACTAAGAAATGGGGATGGGATTTATAACCGCTTTCTGAATATTCTAGTGAAAAGGAAGGGAAAAGTTTTAAAAATGGAGCTAAATTTGGGGAATACAAGAATATTTTTGGAAAAACGTTTCTTTTGACACTAGGCATAGGAAATAATTAACTGACTCGTATGTTAGGTAAAATGCATTTGTTCCCTGTTTTGTTTTTAAACTTTTTACTTCTCAATATATAATTACAAACCTATATCTCATTCAATAGAGTATGTCTACCTCACAGTATCTATTAGGGAGATCATAAATAAGCATATTAGTCTTTCCATTGCCCATATATCTTTTTAGATGAACATGTGATTCCTATGGATCCAAGATGGAACATGCAGTGTTTGGATACGATTAGCAATTCTGTCGATTTTGATACAGAAATAGAACACTCAGATCAGCTGCTTATCCTTCTAAAATCACTTTCAAATCGGTGAGTTTAATTGTAGAGTACTTTTTGAGGGATTAGAAGAGCTCATAGCTTGCCAGGTGTGTGTGTGTGTGTGTGTGTGTGTGTGTGTGTGTGTGTGTGTGTGAGTGAAACATGTCCAATAAAAGCTATAATCAATTTTCCATATTCTCATATTTTTAACAATGCAGGGCTCTATTGCTTTTCTCTGAATCCCTCATCATTTATGAGGGACTGCATGCTCCTGTTTTAAAATAAATCGTCCAAAATTCATAAATCACTTTCCATTACTGTTGATTATCACATAAGTAATAATTTCCTCCCATTTCTAATCTCCTGTTGCCATCTAAGAATTATAAATTGGTTGGCATGGTCCATTTTATGGTAGTGGTATCTTAGAACATTTGGCGTTATATTGGTGCAACTTTGATATCATAATGAAATTTATTTTGTGGGCTGTGTGTTCCCGACACCATAATTTCAATGACATTTGATGTGTATTATGTTGTAATTACAGGGCAATCCTGTTTCTGAACCGGGAGAGAAAGAGTTACGTTGAAAGAAGTTTGATTAATACCAAAAGAACCAGAACTAGTGCTTTGAGGGTGTCTGTAGAGTTCTATAAAGGTATACAATATGCTTCTGCTTTTAATAAGTGAAAATTTAGCAACTTACCATTTTCTTTTAATTATAATGGATAAAACGAATAAGGAAGCTATAGTTGCAAGAAGATTTAACTTTATAAAATTACATATCTAAGTGTTTTTTTAATGGAACAAACATTGGAACTTTGATACAGTGTGTCAAGGAAAAGACAAGCAAGTTGCTACTTTTCAGATGTTCGAAGCACAATTTTCATAATACCTAATCTTGGCAGAGACTTGTATGAGTTGTCCAAAATTCACAAAGAGCACCAAGTAGCATATTCTCATTTTAGTCCATTGGGAATTCAGGAGTTCATGCAGACTCTTTCAAGCTGAGGACTGCACATCTTTGTGAGTTAACATGATGGATGGGCCCCAGAAAAAAAATAGAATTGGCTTAATTTAAAACTAAAATATTTAAATGCAGTTAATGGGATTTCTCTTTGTCTATCCATTATTTTTCCTCTCTTATCAGAGTTAAAATTACAATTTGGTGGCCACTTTTGAAGAACTCTAGGGAATGCACCCAAGCTGTGTTGGGGAGAAGTGGTGGTTGCATAAGCTGCATCTGATTGTACAATTCAAGCTTTGTACACCTTTTACATTTAGTAATTTTCTGAGAAAAAATATAGTGCATTTATAAACTACATTAACTTTCTACAAAGAATTCAGAAGAATAGGTTGCAGATGTCTTCAGTGTTTCGTTAACCGCTACTCACGAATTGAATAATGTACTGTTAACGCAAACTGTTGTAGACATTGGTACATATTTTATTTGGTTTAATTTTATCTTGAACTTAAAGATCCTGGTAATCACACCTCATTTCCACATGCTGTTGTGGCCCACCTTGCTGCCTTTTTTGAACTTTGGGATGCTTTCGTACTGCACTGGGTGAAATCTACACAAGTTGCTGTGTCTGATGAGAAGTTATATGAAGTAAGTAGGCAATATAGATATTTTCTAATCCTTGAGCTGTAAGTAGTATCTTGGTTTTTCATCAGGTCCCCATGTTATCTCCCCCCCCACACACACACACCTGATTTCCCCATAGTATCTTTTTAGATATTTGCTTAAATGGATTTTTGCTACAAAGAACCAATATTAATTGTAGTGTTGTAGAAGAAACCTTTGAGAAGGATAGTCGGGTAGGCAACCTTGGCTCTTTTATGACTCGTGGACTTCAACTCCCAGAATTCCTGAGCCAGCCATGCTGAGGGGAAAGGGAGAGGTTCCAAGCTGAGCTATGCTGGCTCAGGAATTCTGGGAGTTGAAGTCCACGAGTCATAAAAGAGCCAAGGTTGCCTACCCCTGGTCTAGGGAAAGGAGCTAATGAGACTAACATATAAATGTTTAGCAGTGTCAATGAGTAGTGGGGGGAAAGTGTAATATTGTAGATTTTTGAAGGATTAATCCCATACATGGATATAGGTTGGAATGAAACAAAGGAATGGTAATTGGTTATTAAGCCTGAGAAATAATTCTGCTCATACGCTAAAGAGGACCTAAAGAAAAAGAAAAGCTATCACTTTGACACTTCTGACTTCTCTTGCATCTGATTAGGATTCTACTTCCAATACTTTTGTTTAAAATTGTACATAGCTTTGGTTCTGGTCAGTGACTATTCCAAGTTACGACAGCATTAAATGAATGGTGGTTTTAACTGGTCCTCGGAATTCTGGCTATCCCAGCACCCCCATGGTCACATGATCACAATTTGGGTGTCTGGCACTCCATTTACACTTACGATCAGTTGTCAAGCATCCTAGAATCATGCAGTCATCATTTGTAACCTTCCCTGCTGGCTTCCCCAGAAAAATCAATGGGGAAGCCGACAGGGAAGACCACAAGTCACTGGGCTAAGCCTCCCTTGTCCATTCACCCTTTCCCAGCCCCTCGACTGCAGTGGCCACTTAACAAACCTTCTCCATACCATGCTTCATAGTGGAAACCACTTTGCTCCCTCCTCCTGCCTGTGGGACCTGGGACTTGCAACTTTCTGCTGGCTTTCCCACTGTCTTTGGTTGTGGCAAGCCAGCAGGAAGTTGCCTCACCTAACAATCGTGCGGTACAGTTAACCAGACCTACAGGGAGTGCCAGTGCTAAAAGATGCAGTCACACTTTATAACCACATGCTTAGTGACAAAGATTCTGGTCCAAATTGACTTTTTCAGTTGAGAACTACCTGTAGTGTATCTTTGCCATAAGAAGCTTGGAAGGTAGGAATTTCATCTAGGGTCCCATTAGGACCACAAAGATTTCCTTTGTCTCTCCTTCATTACTGGAAATGTTCCTGTGAGTAGCGTAGAATGTGAGAGGAATAGATATGGAAGGCTGCTTTCTTCTCTTGTTATCCTCAAAACAAGAAACTGATATTTCCTGATATGAAAATAGTAGTTCTTCATCTGAGCCATACTGCTATAGTTAAAGAACGTATTCTCCCTGGCTTGCTTCTAGATTCTGCATAGCTTATTGTGGCGTGACAGGTTTTGGACAACATCTGATATGGTGACTGTGGATTCTCCTGGCTTGATGCTCTTGTCTCTCCACTGGCACTGGGTTGTGAAACATTTAATCAGCAGAATATCTCAGTTTCTGAGCGGATATGAACAGCAAAAGTATGTCTGCTTTGTAATTTTCTACAGTACTATTAGCTTTTCCCAAGAATCTTCCTTTCCAATAGGCTGTGTTCAGATGAAGCCCTATAGCCCTGGTTAACTGAATGTGGGCTTATGTAATTAACCCATTTGGTGGATTCACATAACAAATTAAGACATAAAGTAGCTGAATGAATTGGATTTGCACAACATGCTAGGCAAAAGTATGGTTTTCCTGTTTATGGCTTAGGTGCTTTTAAATGCAAATCTGCCTGTCCATGTGTTTTCTATCAGTGTCCTATTCATAAACTCATTATAGGCCACTGCATAAATATATTAGTCTTTCCCGACTTGTTAGACGTTCTTTGGTGAAGGTTGGTACAGAACATCCATGGGTGATTTAATGATCAATCTTCCCCCTCTGAAAAGTTTGTATAAATATTTTGTTTGTTCCATTTTAAGATTGTCCAAGGAAATTCAGTCTGTGTCGCAGCAAATACAGTCTTCTCTTGCTAGTCCAGAAGGTATTTCCACCAGCATTAAAAAGCTACAGAAGGCCTTGGGAAAACCTCTTCCCTTCAAGGTATGCATTTGTTCGTATTTTTAACGAGCCACAGATATTTTTAATGACAACTTTTAAAAACTATGTTACATTGATATAGAAACCTAAATAATTTTCTCCAGCCCAATATTAGGGCAACATCTATACTGGCAGAGCTAGAGAACATAAGATAATGTACTGGTGTTTCAATTCTCAAGAGCTCTTGAGCTCAAATTGGCCTACACAAGCAATTTCTGATGTAACCTGATATTGACTATATCACTTATATCCACCTCAGTGACTGAGTAATTGCTGGTCTGTAAACCTTTATCTGCTAAAGGGGTAAGGAGAGTGGAAAGGAGAAAAAAGAGCTGATGTTCAAACCATCAGACTTACATTTATTTACCTTCTGGTTTAGACTGTCAGGTGTCTGATTGCACACAGAACTTGTCCAGAAGCTGTGGAAATGAACTAATACTCAACCAATTTTCCATTTTTGAAAATATAGTACTCCTTTTTAAACTCCCCTTTTACATGAAGTTTGCAGGTTTATTGGCAAATGGGCAGAAGCTAATTATTAATAATGTTGCAGATAAATGCCAATAGAGTGTTAATTTAGTAGAAGCCAGTTGGATGGTATTATTAGGAGCTGAAGGGTCTGTAGTGATGATGGAGCAATTCAACCTACTTGATATGTGCAAGGATTACAGTAAGCGATCTGATGATGAGATGGTGTGACTGAAACAGAAAAAGCTGGGGGGGTTTTTTCAGCTGCACTTATTCAGAATTTTATGTGTGGAGGACAAGAATGGGAAGTTTTGGGAAGCAAATCTCTTTGAGTAGTCTTAAATTCTGTCCTTGAGTGTTGCCAGGCCCCATAAACAGCCTGTGATTGCTATATTCGAAGCCATTTGAGGGACTTTAATTTAAGGGTGGATAGAGGAATGGTGCATTTGCCAAAGTCTGCCTCTTTCCATTCTTACTTTTAGTACCGAATTAAAAACGAAGCAAAACAAGTTTCAAGAATATATTCTTGGGAGTTTCTGGATGGTTACAAATGGAATCCTTGGGTCTTGCATGCCTCAGGTTGCCCACTTCTGATCAAACTAATACAAGTCACAGATTCAGTTGCTTGATTTTTCTTTTTTCTAAAAAGTCCATGGTTTGGATAAATTTCAGTATACAACGTACCTGCTGCCTCTGTGGAAAGGTAGACCTGGTTCCAACTAGGATGGTTGTGTGTCTATAACTGTGTTCATACAATATCCTTAACTTTGTTGTTGAAGTTTATGCAGCAATTGGTTCGAATCATAATCTGATCAAAAGGTTTAATTTGTATAATATGATAAACCACAAAAAGCAAATAGTCCAAAGTTTAGCATATTATTCACACACATTTGCTAGCTTTAACTAATTTAGTTAACTATGTTGGGTGACTATGACCCATGGCAGAGCACCTGATTACATGCAGAACAGGTTTGGCACAGTAGTTCCCTTCTACCTGAATTCTCTGCTAACCTCTTAATTGTTTACAAGGAATGAATAATCTAGAAATTAAAAACAGTACAATTAGATGAGAAATGGCGATTTACAGCTCCTAGCAAGGGCCTGATGCTACAGGTTGGTGGGAGTTTAGTACCTTCTAGAAGGTTATGGATTCCCCATCCCCAGTGAGGACCCCATTTTCCTCTTCAGTTCCAGTGACACAAGCAGAAAGTTTCCTCTATAGCTTGTTGAAATCATATAAATACAGCAATTTCTTATTCTGGATGTTGACTGTTGGGAACTTCTGGCATTTATAATCCGTGTGTACAGAATCCCTCTCCTCTTTCTTCGGTCTTAATCCACAAATTCAGCCTAAATAACATGGATTTTTTTTTAATTGAAAAAAAACAACATTCAAATTGCTGGGCTAGAGTTGTCACTTATTTACATTTTTTTAAACTATCACTCAACTTTTACTAGGATAAAGAAATATTGGAAACTGCTGTCCAGCTCAGGAGACTCTCCAAAGCTCTTCATATCCCAGAGTTGAAGCCTGCCTTTGGAGACGATCAATGGCAGAAAGAGATCTGCATATTGAGAACTGTCACTGCAGAGTGGAAGATAAAAGCAGTGTTACTTCAAGCTCAAGGCCTAGTCTTCCGCGCCAGTTGTTTGAAAGAGTTTTGTTCAGGTAAATGAGTCCTGAAATCTAAATCTCTTGTAAGAAAAGTGTTGTAGCAATGTGCTATTTTTATACAAAAAAAATATTTTCTGTTTAGATATTTTTTTTTTAGAGAAAGTCTTGGTTGCACCATTTTTAATTATTCTTTTCTTTCTTCTTTCCTTACAGATGAATTTCAGACATTGGTGAATCTCCAGCAGTCAAAGCTAAAAGAAGGAGGAGCTTTAATTAGCCTACAGGAAGGGAAGCCTGCTGAAAGTCAGCAACTGGATCCTGCTCTGTTAACTCAGCTGTGTAACAGAGTACAACTGTGGCCTGCAATGGAGTATCTAGCTGTGTTGTGGCAATACAAGCTGACCTGTGATTGTATTGCTGAGGTTTATTTAAAAAGGTGAGAATCAAATTATTGTCTGGAATGTAAATGGTGCCTTTACCACTGCTGTGATATTGTGAGAGTAGTCAGGAATTGGTTCTTGCTTTTTTTCCATTTTTTTTTAAACAAATCACAGTGCAAAACATTATACAATGAAAGGAAGGCACTTCTGTCTGAATTTGGTCTCAGCATTTTATCATGTGTTCACAGCTTATTCTCTACCCAAACTACATAGGTGTCAGAAAACCATAGCAAGTATATGGCAGAAATCTCACAGGCATTCTGTGATTTCTCTGATTCAGAGACCAACTAATTGTAATTCAGTTGAAGTCTGTCCTTCAGTAAAAAATAGTTGTTTATTTATCCTTGCTTAAACAGCAGGAATTGGGACAAGAATTTCCATTGCTAAGTGATGCAATCGTAAAGCATAATGTCAGGTGACTGCATTGTTTAGCAATAGCAATCCCAGTAGTCCCCATTGCCATTGTTAAGCAAGGATCATGGGTTATTATGCAAGGACTTGCAAGTTCTTGTCAGCTTCAAATAAACAGTCAATGGGGAAACCAGCAGGAAGTTGCAAGTCCCAATCACAACATGCCTTTCTTAGGCAGCTCCCAAGTACGATGGCAGGTGAATGAATGCTATGGAGTGCAGGTGTGCGTGTTACAGCTGAGCTTGAGTAAGGCTGTGTGGTGGGGCTATGCTGTGGTGTAGCACGAGTGACGGCATTTGTGTGCGGGTGTGCTATGGGGTGGCACAAGAGCAAGTGGGGTGGATGCAGCACAGTGTGAATATAGGCATGTGGGTGGCTACTATGGTGTGAGGGTGGATGTTTCTGTATGAGTGTCAATGGATGTTGCAGTGTGATGGTTGGGGGCAAAGCTGTGGCCTGGCAGGGGTATCCAAGAGGGCAATCGCCTACCTGCCCAGAGTCTTCTCCGTTGACCTTGCTTGTGGGAAGCTGGCAGGGAATATTGGAAATGGCGATTCCATAACCAAGAGACATTGTCATAAGTAATAGCTGGTTGCCAAGCAGCCAAATTGTGATCATGTGATTCTAGGGACAGCTGCAAGTTGGAGGACAGGTCATAAATCCCCCTTGTTCATCACTTTGAACGGTTGCTGAACAAGTGGTTGTAACCCAAGGAGTACCCATATTAGAATAATATGACCCATAGTTACAAGCTTTTATAGGCCACTGTTGATCCAAAAATCTTGGGTTATAAATGGGTAGAGTTTTTTAAGCTTAAATTCTGTTAACAGAAATGTAGGAACACTATGGTGTAAAATTGATTTCGTGGCCAAATTTACTGAAATTTACTCAGTTTGAACTGTTTTGAGCATACAAATAGTCTTATATATTTTGGTAATTTAATCTTAGATTTTTACCTTTTTCATTATTGCTGTACTTAGCTGAAACAGCTAAGTTTCAGTAGATGCTTTTCTCATTATTTTCAGGAATAGCAACAGTGATCAGTTAAGCACCTTTTTAGAAATAAAGCCCTTTATTGCTTTTTGCCTTAAGTTGACACCAGCTACCTCTCAACAACTTCAAGGACTTTATTATCTACTGGACTGTTGTAAGGTAAAAAAAAAAAAAACCACTTTAAAGCTGAATAAATTCCTTCCCTTTTTTAATGATTGATTGCAAACACAATGATTGATATTCAAACACAAAACTACTTTATCTCATTTTCTTTAACTGTATAGAGAAATTGCTTTTCTTTTAGGGGGAGCTAAAGGGAAACTTGAAATGGGTTGATCAGACTCATTGTAGAGTAAAAAAACAAACTGAATATTCACCACATTTTGGGCAACCAGCTCACATTTATGGACCATAAGAAAGGCTGAGCGACAAAGAATTGAGGCCTTTGAACTATGGTGCTGGAGAAGACTCCTGCGAGTCCCTTGGACTGCAAGGCGTTCAAACCGGTCAGTCCTAGAAGAGATCAACCCCGACTGCTCTTTAGAAGGCCAGATCCTGAAGTTGAAACTCAAATACTTTGGCCACCTAATGAGAAGGAAGGACT